TTTCTTTAACTAAATTCGATATCTATACATCACTTCACTACAATATTATAAAGTTAAAGTCATGCATTTAATCAATACTCCAATGCAAACTTATTTTACATTCCAATGATGAAACACACTTTGATTTCCTTTATTAAAAATATATAAAAAAATTGTTTCAGAATATGACTTCTTTATAATAAATTTGTATGTACAACATATTTCAATATTTTTTAAAATTTATTCACTTTTATAATTTTAAAAAAAATACAGTATTTTCATAATTTATCCATGAAGATTATGCTTAATTTGCTATGTTCAAATTAGCAAAAGAAATATTGGTTCGATTAAAAATAATTTGTGGGGTCATAGTTTTAAAATAGGGTTAAATATGTTTTTAGTCCCTTAAGTATCAGGAGATTTTGTTTTTAGTCCCTACTCAGAACTTTGATGACTTTTAGTCCTTGTTGTTTTGAAACTCTAACTATTAGTCCTTAAAATTGGACGGTGTTAAGTTTTAGTGGATGTGGCAAACGGCGATGACACGTGATCACTGATCTGCTCTCTTCTCTCTCTGCCACGTTGGATGTTTAAATGTTGAACTGAGATTAAGTGAAGAGCACTTCGTCATCTTTTATAAATGAGATTTGAAGAAGTTGGTTCTTCTTCGTGGCTGCAGCTGGGGGCAAAGAACTTGAGTACATCTGAAGGTTGGAGTTGGTGTTCTTGAGGAGGTAAGTTCATATGTTTTGGTTTTGATCTTCTTCTGTTCTTCGTGTGAATATGAGGATTTGGGATATAGGGTTTTTGTGGGCAGGAAAGCTGATGAAGGGATTGCTTTCTTGTAGTGAAATGAAAGGTGAGAGTAGAGGAAATGGTTGGACGCGAAGGTCAATTGGTTCGTCTAAGTCGCAAAGCTGTGGATCATCTTCACGGTTACCTTCTAAATTGTGTGGTTATGGTGAAACATTGTTGGTTTTGAAGGCAACTACTGTGAAGAACAAAGGAAGATTGTTTTATAGATGTAGAAATTGGGCAGTGAGTGATTAAATCTTTCATTTCATTTGCTGAATTTTGAATTAATCTTGTGTTGTTTTGATTGCAGAGTAATTCAAGTTGTAATTACTTTGAATGGCATGATAAAGGAGTTTCTGAAATTGAAGGAAGCTTTGAAAGAAAACGTGAAGAACTTGAAATGTGTTTGGAAAATGAAAAACTTGTATTGGATCTAAGGAAGAAGAACGAAAAGTTGAAAAGGAAATTACAAAAAGAGAAGAAAGTTGGAAAAATGATGTTGTTGTTGTTTGTCTTGTCATGGGCGTTAACAATTTTCTTTTGTATTATGTTTTTGTTGAAGATGAATTGTAATTAAGAATTATGGTTGAATAGAATGAGTTTTGTCTGAAAATTCTGGTTGTTGTTGTTTGTTTTCCCTTTAACATTCCACTGTTACTGGTATATTGATTTATGTTAATAAAGAAAAGAGTTCACAGCATAAGAAAGTACAAGCAGAGTATCTGTAAATGTGGACTTGGAATAAATGAAGTTAACTTCGCATTATGCAAAGATGGAATACAACACGAAGTTTAGTGGTCCCTTTCCACTGTATATGAAGTGGTCCCATACTTTAAATAAGATAAGTTTAGTGGTCCCTTTCCACTACAAAAAATATTAAAAGCAACCACAGCAACCACTGTACCCACTACTACAATTGTTCCCTGAGTGGGTCACTGTGACTTACAAAATTCATTAAAATAAAGGGTTGGCTACAATAAATCTACAAGAATTAACTGACTTAATCTCAGTTCAACACTTAAACATCCAACGTGGCAGAGAGAGAAGAGAGCAAATCAGTGATCACGTGGCATCGCCGTTTGCCACATCCACTAAAACTTAACACTGTCCAATTTTAAGGACTAATAGTCAGAGTTTCAAAACAACAAGGACTAAAAACCATCAAAGTTCTGAGTAGGGACTAAAAACAAAATCGCCTTGATACTTAAGGGACTAAAATCATATTTAACCCTTTAAAATATTATCTACAAGTTTTCAAGGAGATCATTTTCTAAGTAAAACGAATTATATCATTAACATTATGTTTTTATAACTTTGGAAAGAAGAAGCCATGGAGGACGTGGTAACCAAATAGAAGTAAGAGGTAATCTCTTTGAAAAATCTATTAATAGTCTCAAAACTAAAAGTTAACTTTAATAACTCACTTCAACGTATACAATATAATCTCTTATTTGAGTTTAACTTATATTCCACTTAAACGCTGATAATATCTATTTAGTAAAATTATATCTTTAAAGATATAAGAAAAAATTTTATTCTCAGGCAATATCTTTTTAGTTATACCTTAGAATATGATTTTATATCTCTCTCTTACTTTTTCCTCTTTTTATTAACTTTAAAGATATGGTTTTTAAAGATATGGTTACACCCTTAAAAAACTATAGATATTTCCATTAATTTTTCAAACTCAATTTTCTTTTTTATAAAAATTAATGCATTCTTTATATCTATTGTTTCGGGTGAGTCAAGACCAACAGTTTAGATTGTGTTGTATTGTCATTGTTTAGTGAATTAGTTCTCGTTAATCTGCTCGGATGATATTTACAATAGGTACTTCAATATAAAAATCAATTCAACATTAATATAATAGACAGAAAATAGTTAATGCAACAATTAATATATATATATATATATATAGCCTACCTTCCTATCTCAAACTTTTATTTATGGGTTTCGTAATGAGTTATTGATTAACATTGGCCTAATTACAACCTAATTGTGAGTAATTATACTTTACTCTTAAGTTGATGAGTTTTAAGGTTAATCTCTTCTGGTTTGTTCATCATGATCAATCTAATTCAAGGTCAGACAGTCTGCTTGGTCATCATTCATGCTCGCCCTGCTACCTGAGCCAATGCTTGACTCATCCGAGTTGGTGCATGGTTACTCAATGTCCTGTTGTTGACCAGGTTGATGATTGGTTATCTAGGCTAATACATGGACAACCAACCTGTTTGTTGATTGACTGAACTCTATGGCTTGTGCTGTGGGCTATGGGACATCTATTAGGGGTAGTGTACAATCAACCAACTTGTTCAGTGTTCAGTCGAACTCACTAGTTTACTCTTTGAACTCCGAGTAAGTTATTGGGTTGGTTCATGGTTGGTTGTCCTCTTTAGAAACTCATCGGACTTACTGATTAACCATCGATCGAATAGTCATACAGTACAATTAAAAAATACGAAGAAATAAAAATAGTTTCATTAAAAAGAAAAATCAAATATAAAAAAATTTCATGCATTGCATATAATTTAAAATTTTCTAAATTTATTTAATCTAGTAAATATAAAATGTTTTTTTGGTCTTAAGATAGGAAAGATTCCAAGAGTGATAAGGTAACTTATTTGATAATTATGTTATAAACAATTATTATTGAACAATTTTTTTCAAATTTTAAATTATTAAAGAAGTTAAACATATAGACTCTCTTATTTGTTTTTTTTTTAAAGTTACTAGATAAGTATTTTAATGCGTTTATTCTTATGTCAATCAAGTAATAGAGAGATTTTTTTTCTTCTAAAAATTGACGTGAATTTGTAAAAACAATAGTGAACAAGAATCTAGAGACTAATAAAGAAGTACAGACTTAATGTCAAATGTTTGGTCAAGTATACATAAATTATGGGTGCAACGTGAGAGTTGCATTTCACTAAACTCACTTATTGATTTATATTCAAATTATATCCTCCACTTACTTAATTATTTAAATTTTATTTTTCAAATAATTAAATTAAATAAATTTGTTGAATATCAATTTGTTAATCATTATAATCAATTAATCAATTTGAGATCACAATACACTAATTTAACTTATTTTGTAAAAATCCAATAAATAGTATTTTTAAATTGGTAATGGTTTAAAAATAATTAAAAACTCATTTATTTTAATATTAAACTATTTTAATATTGATAATTTTGTTATGAATGAATTTTATTATTTTAAAAATGTAATTTTTTTATAAATTATTTTTCTAAAGTTCTATGATTTTTCTTTCTACAAGTTTTCTTCTTCTGTTTGCGTGATGAAAGCCTGAAACTAACCATAAGCGAACTTTTCATTTTGAACATATCAATTTTTCATATAGAATAAGTTGACTTTTTTTCCCTTCTTTAATCTATTTTGTCTTCCATTATCTGTTATAGTTGTAAATGCATGTGATGTTTGAGTCTTCTATTAGATTCTTTACTAATTAGATATCTAATTGTCTTTTTATTATTTATAAAAGCATGATTTCCTCAACATTTGTAATATGATTATTATTATTATTTGCTTTTATTTAATGAAAATTTTGCACACAATATTTTATAACTATGATATATATATATGATATAACTTTCTCCCTATCAATTGTTTATATGGGAAAAAGAAGATAAAGAAAATATATTTCAAATAATTCATTTTTTTCAATAATGAGTTAGGTGATTTTTTAAAAGTTTGAACATACAAAAACACATTTATCTTTACTAGTTTTGATAAATAAAAGATAACTACATTCGGTGAAAGCACACAAATCTCATTGCATGAATTCAAAAATTGCTGAAACTATAAACTAAAATAAATAAAAAAAATCCAAATACTTTAATCTCTTAAATTTAAGATACGTTTATTTTTTTCTCTAAATCTAAAATTTATTTTTTTTAATTATCATATTTTTAAAATATTTATTTTAATATTATCATCTTATATCTTCTTTGAAACATAACAAATGATCCATAATCAATTTATAAGATATTCTATTTTGATTTGATATTTTTGTTATCAAATATGTAATGATATATACTTTTTCATTCGAAATATTCATTTTAACAATCAAAATTAACATGCCAAAAGCAATATTTTTCAAATTTTAGAGGATAAAAAATTAACTTAAATTTTAAAAGATAAAAAGCAATCTTAAATTAAATTTTAGATTATATATATAAATCAGAACCAGGTTAACTTCTATTCTTAACCAAAGCTGTCGCCAAAGTCGGTTACTATAACCAATCGTACATCATCTTCTAGGGTTTGTTTCGACCATCGGAAAACCCCAATCGATCACTTTTTCAATCCCCAATTCCACATCACAAACCCTAGAAAATCGTTCAAATGAATAAAAAATCGCTCCAAATCCTGGTGCAGTCACCGGACCTCGGAATTTCCGTTCAATCCACTACCAATCACAGAACCCTTTCCGATGTCAAGCACCGCCTTCTCCCCCGATCACACCAATCCTTCTACTTCACCCTCAATGGCAAGCCCCTACCCGACGAAACCCTTCTCTCGAGAATTGCGCCTCTCTCCACCCTCTCCCTACGGCCCCGCCTCCTCGGCGGCGGTGGAGACGGCGGAGCCACCGGCGCCGAGTCCCGCGACTGCTACCTCAATATGTACGCTGAGAAGAAGCCAGATAAGGTGGACCCCCACGAACAGCGTCTCTCAAAGTGGCACAATTGCTCTCTCTCAAATGAGCCCCTGAGGGAGCCCTGCGTGATCGACAAATTGGGGAATATATTCAACAAGGAAGCGCTGGTGGAAGCTTTGCTGGGGAAGAAGCTTCCTAAAGAATTTGGGTACATCAAGGGATTGAAAGACATGATCAATATTCAACTTTGTTCGATTCCTGGATCTGATGACGGGGCAAAGTTTCAGTGCCCCGTTGCGGGGCTTGAATTCAATGGAAAATATAGGTTTTTCGCGCTGAAAAGCTGTGGGCATGTTTTGAGTGCCAGGGCTCTGAGGGAGGTTAAGTCTTCGTCGTGTTTGGTTTGTCACAAGGAGTATGCCGACGTTGATAAGATTGTGCTCAATGGGACTGATGAGGAGGTGGCGGTTCTGAGGGAGAGGATGGAAGAGGAGAGGGCTAAGATAAGGGAGAAGAAGAATAGGAAGGTTAAGAATAGTGATGATGGTGTGAGTTTGGAAGGGACTAAGTTGAGTGGTACCAAGCATCGTGTTGATGTTAAGGCTGTGGAGAGGGTTTCAGCTAAGGTGGAAGGAAAAGGCAAGGTTGCTAATGGTAACGTTGGTTTGAATGGTGCTGTTGCTGATGCGAAGCGTTTCAAGGCGTCGGATTTGGCACCAGCGAATGCTACTAAGGATGTGTATGCGTCCATTTTCACTTCGTCTAGGAAGTCTGAATTTAAAGAAACATATTCTTGTAGGTCTCTTCCTCTTGGTAGAAACTGATTGAGGAATCTGTGTATTGGTGTCGCTACTGTTTTATTGTTGAAGAATGTACTGAATTTTAGATTGTTGTATAAGAAATTGAGTTTTCCTCTTATGAATTTACTGGTTTCATTTCCATCACATTATTATCATTAATCATACTTCGGAAGGAGTTTTGTTAATAATATCTATTATTTGGAACGAGAGAGATTTTGGAATTTGTACTCGTTGTTTTCCTATATTTCTGATTATATACCGCTTGCGCATTATTCGATAGATAATGTTTAAGTGATAGTTGCCATATAAGTTGGGTTAAGAATTGAGCATGCTATATTCAGGATAATTATTTTAGTTTGTCATGAATGACAGTTTGAGTAGGTCAGTGATGTCTCCATAGTCAGTAGAGAGCATTGCACTAGTATTACCCTTTCTTCCTTGTAGATAAGGAATGTGAGAGGGCCTTTCCTAGCGATTATAGAGAGCTTATTCCAATAATACACCATAAATTCTCAGTTATTAAGCTATTAAAAACTCTTTTTAATTAATTTATCATTTAAACCTTACATATCTTCTGTGAGCTTATTCATTGCTAACACCTATAAATGAATGACAAGTTTGGATCCTATATTGGAATCACAATGCTTATTCGTTGTGTATCAGTAAGGCAATTTGACTTCAAAACAACTGGTGGATTTTCTGTTAATGAAGTTTGTGCAGGATGAACCTGTCAGATGGAGTGGTCGTGTGCAAGGTCGTCATACTACAGTTTTATCTGTAGAATTACACGACTTTACGATACTTATGAAGAACCGTGGTTTTCATCTATATACTTATGCAATGTAAGTTGAATCTGTGACATTCCAGTTGATAACTTTTGTTCATAGTTTTTGTGTAGTAGTACTGCATTTTCGTTGTAGATGAGAAATGTAATTCAAAAACTGCACTTATATTGTACTGGGTTATTTCCTTTTCGTCCTTGAATGAATGATGCCGTATTTAGACCACGGCCCCCGTAATTCATATATCAGCATAGCATTTTGGATTTCCTGTTAACGAAAGAAAATTCTGTTGAGCTTTGACAGCATGGTTATGTATAAAATGAAAAACAGTCCTCTTGTTAACAACGAAATCGACTTTAAATATATCTATGTAACCTAAATCTTTGTTGCGTTCAAAGAACATAAAACTGAAAGCTAAACAATTTTTCACAGCTTGTTCGCAAATTTTGTGTTGATGAACCATAATCAAAATGAGAAGCGGAGATTTAGAGAATTCAAGAATTCTGGAAATAATCAGGGCTTGAAAATAAGACAGAATTGCTGGCTGCGTAAGCTTTTGGTAGTGTTTGGATAGAAAATCTGAAATGCACGAAGAACATACAAAGGTATGACATAAAAGCAACACATCACTTTTCGTACACTCGAATTAAATGATAGGTAAGTAGAAATAAAACACAAGTTTGGAAAGCAGAACAAATATAATAGGGTGGTTAACATTCTAAATTACTTTTCACAAGCAAAGATAATGGTATGAGCTTCGGTTTGAATGTATGCCAACGACAACAAAATTTACGACATTGTACCTGTATAGCATTTGATTAGAATCGTTGTAGGAGATCGATGCTTGACCTTTGCGGAGGCAAAAAAAGAGCTGATAAAGTGTATTAGTGATATTAGTGAATAACATACAAATAAACTTGTGCTTACTTAACATTATCAATACATGGTCTATAATCCACGGATACAAACAATGCATTATCGGTTGTAGGCCCTTGAAAATAGTATAGAATGGCAAGTTTAAATCGTGACAATACAACAAAACTTGTAATAACCTGCAAGATCATTAAAAGACGAGGTCTACAAGCGCTTTAAATAGAAGATAAAAGAAACAAACAGAATCACGAGTCATATGATTAGTTAGAATTGCAATGATATAGGTGTTTCTTTTGCAATGGAACTTAATTTACAGCACAAGTAGATGGTTATTGCTCAGCTATGGCTTAATAGGTAAATATCATATTGTAGACTAAAAAATAACAAAATCTAACATATATATTCGTCCATTACTTTTGTGTCGTTACCGAGTGATGGACTCAGAACCACATCACATACTTTATATATTGTATATGATGCGAAGCAGGGGAGATAGACATATAACAATCAATTGTATGCAGTGAAAAGTCAGGCCCAAATCAAGTAGAAAGAAGAGGTTGACATTAAAAGATTGGAAACACAGTTCACTAAGTCACTACTACTTCAGGATCAGTAGCACTCTTGTTATCAGTGATGGCTTGTTCAGGATCAGCAGCACTCTTGTTATCAGTGATGGCTTGTTCAGGATCAACACTCTTGTTATCAGTGATGGCTTCTTTACGATCAGCACTCTTGTTATCAGTAATTTCTTCAGGATTAGCAGTCTTGTAATCAGAAATGGCTTCTTCAGGATCAGCACTCTTGTTATCAGTGATGGCTTCCTCATTGACAACACGCAGATCTGGATAATTTCTATGGTTTAAAGAATGCAACCAAAGAGCAACAGTTCCTTCCTTCTGCTCCGTAGAAGAAATATGGGAATATATGTACTTCATTTTGAACTCCTCAGCTTCTTTCTCATATGCTTTCATTGACACCTCTTCATGGCTATCTTTCCACTTCTGGTTATATGAAGAAAAGAAGCACTCGTCCAGATATAATCCAACCTCAGGAGCAGTAGGCACATTAATGTTCACATCCCTGCGTTTAGGAAAACAAAAGTAGAAAAGTATATCCAATGAGAATCACAGCATTTCAAATGCAAACTTATAGATAACACAAACAATAGAAGTTGTACTCACTGCTGCAAAGCTTTATTGATAAGTGATTCTGGTGCACAATTTCTCATTATTGCCACTGCCAGCCCTATCATCTTCCGTATCTGATGAAGCATGAAGCTCTGTCCCACAACCTCACACTTTACAAACTCAATGCCCTCAACTACAACAGTAGTGTTAGCATTGAATGAAATAATGTAACGACGAGCAGCAGGGTCCTGTGCTTTTGTTCGGGTGGTGAAGTTATGGAAATTATGAGTCCCAACAAAAAAATTTAAAACCTTATTAAATCTCTCCCTCTCCTTCTCACCGTAACAGAACCTGCTTCCACCAGTAGACTTATCCACTCCGTTCATTTTTTCTTCCTCAATAATGTCTGAATTATTCACAGATTCACCATTCAAAGGCACATCCTCATCCTGAACAGTAATCATGTTCTCAATACCAGTTTCAGGGTTCGTGCCATCAACTAAAACTTCACCCTTAGTATCAATCCCAGACTCCCCATTTAAATGATTATCATCCCCTTTGCTCAGAGAAACTTCCACATCCTCTGCAACTACAGAATCAAGCACAACATCTCTGTTTGATCCAGCGTCAACATCCATAGCTTCAAGTTCCAGATTGTGCTTACGGTTGCCAACTAATCCTACCACCTTTCGGCCTCTCTCAGAACACTCCAAACATTTAACAAGCTCGTTTGTAGATCCCAAACTAGCCATGACAGTCTCTCTATCACGGTGACAACTTGGATCAAGAGCAAACACAGGAATGAGATAGACATACCTCCTCCGGTCACAGAACTTCTTGGCACTAAAAGAACCTGTCACACGCTTGTAACCAAAGATCCTTATCTGAGAGGGAAGGTTTGAATTAAGGCGGTCAACAAGGCCAGGAGGATCAATGTAGAAACGACCGGAGACAACCTGACCAACAGCACTAACACCTTTATCTGTTCTAGCTGAGCGAGCCCAGTCATATCGTTTAGGAATTCCACGATCATGTTCAGGAACAGCTCCAGACACATATAAGGCCTCTTCTAGGTCACCTTCAATGGTCTTTGCACCAGGGTTTTTCTGCATACCCTGATAGCCAACACCACAGTAAGCAAAGAAAATGGCAACCTTACGGCGTTTGTATCGATTCTTGGTGCCCGGGGCAGTTTTGCATTCTTCATCATCAGAAGTTGTGGTGGACATCTTCAGCTTCTTGGGCTCTGGCTCGTCCGCAGCTAATGGAGGTGGTGGAGGCAGGGATGAAGTTGTCAGCGCTGTATCTGGGTTTTCCATATTATAGAAGTGACAAGAATGACTGGTAGAAGTCAATGTTTTAAAATGTGGAATGTTCAACAACCGGAAAAAGGTACTGGCTCAAGACTCAAGAGTCAATGGCCAGGCCAGGGGACAACTAATACCAAATCATTGACACCAGCATGAGGCCACAAACCTAAACAACAATTTGATTTATTAATTCAGAAATGAACAAGTCCTATAGACGTTCTTTCAGTGCATTTATAGTTTCTACACACAGCTCCGGATGCAATTTCAATTTCTTGAAGTTTTAAAGAACTCGACTAATCACAGATATCTCTACTTTTTGAAAGCCTTTTCATGTTTTGCAACAAGCAAGTTGAGAGAACAAATAATTACGATCACAACAGCAATAGCGTGAATTATTGCTTGCTGTTAACAGTTGATTTATGATTGAAACCACATAAAAGACTGAAACTATTCAGATAAAAAAAGACGGGGGAAATCCAAAGATCACTAGGAACATCTACCCAAAAAGCATGAGATTTTCTTGAACTCCACAATCCACATCCACTTCGAAAATAGCGGGAAAAAATGGCACCTAAATATTATATCATATTTTTACAAAAGAAAGAGAATAGGATAATGAAACAATGAGCGCAAAAGAGGTATTACCAGAGGAATGAGCGGGAGAACGGTTGAGAATGCTAGCTGGGTTGAACTGCAAAGTGAAAACGTGTGTGCGAAAAAGATGCAACAAATGTTAAACCCTCGTTTCAAGTTTCACAGACAAACTGGGCACGCGCCACTGATTTCTTACATCGGCCCCATTACGATTTTTTGCACATGGGCCTTAACCTAAAATTGAACGATGGGCTGACAACTTTTTAGGGAATTTTTTTTGCATCCGTGTTTTTTTTTCTGCACCCCCATAAATATTAAAATTCCCACTTTGCCTTTTGGTGTAAAGTTTTGTTGGATTGCTCCTCTGGAAACTTTGTGAATTGTGAAATCTAGAATTTAAAAATGTATACCAAATTACACAATCTAGTATAGTAAATTGAAAGTCAATTTTAATTTTGGATGGTGTAATCTATATAATTTAATATTGTTTTTTGAATTACATAATTCAGAAACTCTATTTTAAAAAAATATAATAATTTATGAATTCAAAAATGACTTTTAGATTCACAAGTGACCTCCGTATTAAACAATTCATAAGTCATGTTTTTCAAAAACAAAAACAAAAAGCTTTCGAACTGTAAAATTTCAAAAGCCTGGAAGTCTTTTATTTTAGAAAAAAAATTATGAATTTTGTAATTCAAAAATGTTTTTTTGGAATTACGCAATATGTAAGAAGTTGCTGAAGTAGAATTCGAAGAGTGGGTGGGGACAACAAAGCAGTGAAAGCAAGGAGGTAATGCTGTTTAGTCTTTTAAAGATCCTTTGGAAGTGCAAGAGAAAACCATAAGGATGCAAAACAAAATACTTAATTTAGTATAGTTGGTATTACAATTATTATTTTATATGCATATAGTTATAAATCATATATCACCATGCCTTCTAAAATTGGCCTAGAGATGGAAATTGATGTATTGTTTGTCTCAAAGTTCAACTTATTTTTTATGTTATTCACTGTGTAACAAAACATCATACGCCGACAAAAAAATGGGAAATACAAATCATACAAAATATGAAAGTCCAGATAAATAGGTTGGGGATATGCTCTAAATACACCCGATTAGTTTGTCTGTGACTTTTAAAGTGATTTATAAGTGTACAACGAGAGCAAAAATATATCAATCCTTAATATATACGATTAAAATTGTAGTAACCTTAATAATCAAACCTCAGCCGACCACCTTTCTAATCAAAATAGATAACTTATTTGTAGATCTTGTAATTACACTAATCAGTAAATATCACTGCAATGAACGAGAAGGATGGAAGTTGTTGCCAGTGCTGAAAATTCCTATCTCCAATTACTGCTGTTGGCCGTTGAGGATCGCCCTGTGCATAAAACTCTATGCATAGACAGCAAGTGGATATTGAAGATAATAATGATTCATGGATTCCAACAGCGAAACAGCAGGCTTTAGCAAAATAAATTTTCAATCGTGTAGTTTTAATGATCTTAGATGTGTGGAAACTTTCACATAAAGCAACAATACGAAAATCAAGAAACAGAAATTTACCGTTATACCAAATCAGTGTATACATCTTGAATTTTATGCATACCTCCTCTTTCCAAAAGTATTCTTTAGGTGCTGGGTTTTACGGTCCATGATGGGGCTGTAGTAATTCTATGTATGACCTTAGGTTTTCTTTTTGGCATATATGACAATATGAGCTTGGTCTATTTAAACAAACCAAAAGAACGCCTAGTCGTCTAAGATCTTGCTAGCACTAATAGCACATTTAGTTGCCTGAAGTGCAAATGACCCAGCGCATTATATAGCTGGAACAGAAGCAAGTATAATTTGTTAATTGACTCTCCGCTTCACTCTTAGGGTCCGATTGGTTGACCTAAGAGGATTAAATAGCTACTGACCTCTTTCTTCTGGTTCCTGATCATGTATGTGCCCCATGAACAGCCTGACCAACGAGCTCATGAATTGCACATAACAGTCGCAGCTTGAAACTTTTGGATGTGGGCCAGATTCTGAATCATTGGCTCGAAAATTGCCATACTTCTTCATGATTTGACAATCCTCTTAGCTAACCAACCAGAAAAAAGCACAAGACAGCAACACCAATGCACTAATTGCAACTCAGTGGTTAAATGCCATCCTGGATTGCAATATATCACCATTAATTTGAGATTGTGATGAAGGGGAAAACAAAAGAATAGTTACAAAATAATGACTTCCAGGGCTGGAGGAAGCAATGCTAACATATAATCTCTAAGATAAAGAAAATTGTTTGTAGATGCAAAACAGAAAAAGGACAAATTACTTCACAAATATACGTAGAAGCAATCTTCAAATATCTCAATCAACGAATTGATATAAAAGGGGGACCATAAAAGGGAGGTTTCTGAATATAATGAACAATCTTACATTGGGCATGAGTTGATGATCTCATCAATCTAAAAGCCACCACAAACCCTGAGTTGTATCTCATCGCTGCCTTCTTGATCTACGTGAACAAGGGAAATGAAAATAAAGTTTAAATAAAAAACTAAGAATTGAAATAAATTATAAAACCAATATATCAAGAAGAAAAGGCAAGCATGAGAAGCAAATAAGTTTGAAGACAGAATATGCTGGTTCAGATGCAGATCGTATTTATCTCAAATTTTCAATACAGTTACTAAGAGGCTTTCTTAACAGTAGAATTATACCATACCCCGAGGTCCAATCCAAACAACAAAAGAAAAAACACTGCATAGATTACTTGTAAACATTGATTGGTACAGATGGGAACTTTTATCAAATAATACCTTTCAAATCATCACTGATAATTTTAGGAAGTAATGGATCAAGAAGAGGTTGATATCCTTCATCTTTCATTAACTTGGTTAACAGTTTTAACGCCAACCTTATTTCTTCAATTTGTGGGTGCATATTGTCTCCAACAACAAATACATGGGTCAAACTTTTCAACTCAATCCAGCTACAACCAGGTTCTTTAGTCACCCCTCGGGTCTTCATCATCCCCCTGACACGCTCCACGTCTTCCCATTTTCCTAAAGCCGTATATATACTCGATAACAACACATAAGCAGACGATTCTGGCGAGCCTAACTCCATTAGTTTCTCTCCAGCATAAGCACCAAGATAATAGTTACGATGGTTCTTACAGGCCCCTAATAATATGCGCCACAGACATAGACCATGATCAACTGTTGCTGATTCAATGAATTCTTTTGCTTCATTTAGTTGTCCAGCACGGCTCAAGATATCAACCATGCAAGCATAATGCTCTACTGTAGGAGCAATGTTAAACTCATCAAACATCATCTTAAAATAAACCCACCCTCTTTCCACCAAACCCATATGACTACAAGCAGAGAGAAGATTCACAAATGTGACACTGTCGGGCTTTGTTCCCTCCGAGCACATCTCTTCAAACAACTTCAAGGCTTCAATGCCGCGACCATTTTGAGAAAGTCCGGATATCATTGCATTCCACGAAATTACATCTCTAGAAGGCATCCTCCAAAAGATGCGGCATCCGTCATCCAAACTTCCACACTTTGCATACATGGCAGAAAGAGCACTTCCAATCGGAACTTCCAAGCTAAAACCATACTTAATAATCCCGGCATGCATTTGCTTTCCCTGATCTAAAGCCACCAAGCTAGAACAAGCCTTTAGAACACTAGCCATAGTTAAATCATTGGGGATAACTCGCCCCATCTGCATTTTACCGTACAAATTCATAGCACCTTCATAATCCCCATTTTGTACATAACCCGTTATGATTGAAGTCCAAAGAACAACATCAGGTTGTTGAATATACTCAAAACCATTCCGAGCATCCCCTATACTACCACACTTCGCGTACATGTCCACCAAAGCCGACATCACATACAACTGCAATTCATAACCCAGCTTCAAGGAATACCCATGCATTTGTCTCCCTTCCACAACAGCACAAGCATCACTACAAGCATTGATCACCCCAACAAGAGTATACTCAGTGGGCAAAACTCCAGAGCGATGCATATCATAAAACAGTTTCAGAGCCTTATCCGCATCCCCGCTCTGAGCAAAACCAGTAACCATAGCCGACCACGTGATCGAATTCTTATTCCCCGACAACTCAAAAGTCTTGAGCGCATCCTCCAAGCTCCCACACTTCGAATACATCGTCACGAGAGCATTCCCCACAGAGACAAAGCAAACACCCCCGTTTTTCATCGCAAGAGAATGAACCTGCCTTCCGGTGTCCACAAACACGTGACTCGTCAAAGCACTAAGAACACTAGTGATCACAAAATCTTTTTCATTGTCACTCTCTTTTTCATGACGCAATAGTTCAAAGAGCTGAAAAGCCTCATAAGCAAACTCCTTGGAAGCATACCCAGAAATCATGGTAGCCCAAGAAACCACATTCCTCACAGGCATTTCGTCAAACAGCTCACGCGCCTCCGCAACGAGACCCGTTTTGCAGTACAAGTTAAGAAGCGAACTGGCAACGAAAACGTCATCGGACCAGGCCGTTTTGACGGCAAGAGCGTGGGCCATGCGGCCGGCGCTGGCGTCGGAGAGGTTGGAGGAGGCGGTGAAGACGCCGGTGAAGGTGTGGGCGTTGGGGAGGGTGGTGCAGGCCATCATACGGCGAAAGAGACGCATGACGTGAGAAGAGGCGTAGGCTTGCTGTTGGGAGAATGCATTGATGAGACAGTTCCATGAGATGACGTCCTTGTGAACGATGTTGTCGAATACGAGGTTGGCTTCTGCGAAGTGACCACACTTCGTGTAGAGGTTGATGAAGGCGTTGGCAATGTGAGTGAAGGAGAAAAAACCGTTTCTGAGAATGCGAGCGTGCAAAACTCGACCTCTACGAAGTTCTTTGTTGACAGTGTAGTGAAGGAGAGCACGCAACACTTGCACGTGTTGGGGAGGAAATGGAAGAGGCATGCATCCACTGCTAACAAATGACAGTGTCTTTGTTCAACTTCACTAGTCTGGGTTTGCTTTCTTATATAAAGATGTAATAAATTTATTTTTTTTATAATATAATTATTGTTAAAATATAATTGTTACAAAAATATATTTAATTTTGTTAAAAAATACTTATTTTTAATATATAAAGATAATTTCTTTTCACATATTTCATATTTTAATTTTACCTTTTATAATATAATAGGAGGTATCCGTTTTAATTTTTTTTAATAAAATTGTATATTATTTATATATTTTTCAATAATTAGGTCTGTATCTAATTACTTTATTTATATAATTTAGAAAAAAATAAATTTTAAATTCTGGATCATTCAATAAAACATCAAAGTGAATTTCTTTATTTCTGTATATTAAAGAATTATTTTTAATAAATTTTACAATAGTAGAATGATTTAAGTCATTCTATTTAAAAATTATATTATTTTTACTTATCCACAAAAATCATATTACACTAGGTCCCTGTTCTTATAGTTTTTGTTCTATTTTTTCTGAGAATATGTTAACACAATATATGATATCATCTTTATATAATACCATTAAAATATCTAATAGGACATTTAGATATTATATAATAATATAAGTTGTGTGTTTATCTTCCTTACAAAAAAAATATTACATCTTAATATCCAAAAACACTTCAAAGTTCTATTATATACTTTCAGTTAATATTTTCTCTTTTACAATAAATATATATATATATATATATATATATATAAAGATATATTTAATTTTATTAACGAATAAAAAATGACTTTACATCTTAATCAATTTATAAATTTAATAACTTATATTATAATATAAATATTAAAAATCCAGACACATATAAGATAACATCTATAATTTTTACTAATATATATATATATATATATATATATATATATATATATATATATAATGTTAAATGTGTGATTTCGACTCTGCTAATTTTGCTTATCGGTTAGTGTATGAAAGCATACTCGTTCAACAACCATATAACTCGCTTAACAAAAATAAACACTGAAACCGACAAGTTTATATTATTCCAAAGTCGTCCAATAACACTTGTCTCACCTAGCCACTTTCAAATCAGTGAGTTATTTGAAATGATCACCAAATCAATAGCTCTTGCTTATCGAATCTCCATAATTCTATATAACATAATTTGGAAATTTATATCATTCTAAATCCAACAACAATCATAAATATCAAAACGTATCAACTAACAAATTATATAATACTTAAAGGCTTAATATATTTCATTTGCAGCATCAACTAGAAAACATATGCAATTTCATAATACAATTCAATGAAGTCAAATTAAAACCCTAATTTAACTTCCCATATCATATTTCATTAGACAAATAAATCACACAAATAAAACACTATACAAGCATACAATTGACAATTTAAAGTATTTACAAGTTAAAAACAATGCAATTATTTTTTTCTTTCTTGAGAAACAAATGAATTTGTTTTTACGAATCTCAAATCTCTTATAACTCACAAAATGTCCTATCTATACTTAAGAACAACACAAACACGATCACGATACACCATTAGAATCATTGATCAACAAAAACTTATATAAATGACTAAAAAGATGTATGTAAGTAGATGAAGACTCACATGCAATATATAACAGAACGAAAAAACTGATCGACCTTGAAAAGTTTAAGACAAAGATTATTGTTATAGTTTCGTTTCTTCAATCATATGAACAAAGAGGAATAATCCTTAAAAGTAAAATAACTTTAGAAAAATAAATTTGAAAAAGAGAGTGTATTTTAAAACAATAATGAATTCATATCAAAACTATTTATATAAAACTTTTTAATATTAAAATTATTGAATTTTATTGTTTTTAAATCACTATTATTTTTAAAATATTATTTTAACATCTTTAACCTTCTTATAAAATTTTCAGGAAAACTTTATTTTTTATTAAAAAGTAAAATAAAATTTTCCTTAAATATACAAAAGTAATAGAAACAAATTTTTACAAATAGCATTAGTTATCAACTACTTATTTAATGGAATAGTAAGGATTTAATTACTGGCCTTTTGAATTAAANACTGCAATGAACGAGAAGGATGGAAGTTGTTGCCAGTGCTGAAAATTCCTATCTCCAATTACTGCTGTTGGCCGTTGAGGATCGCCCTGTGCATAAAACTCTATGCATAGACAGCAAGTGGATATTGAAGATAATAATGATTCATGGATTCCAACAGCGAAACAGCAGGCTTTAGCAAAATAAATTTTCAATCGTGTAGTTTTAATGATCTTAGATGTGTGGAAACTTTCACATAAAGCAACAATACGAAAATCAAGAAACAGAAATTTACCGTTATACCAAATCAGTGTATACATCTTGAATTTTATGCATACCTCCTCTTTCCAAAAGTATTCTTTAGGTGCTGGGTTTTACGGTCCATGATGGGGCTGTAGTAATTCTATGTATGACCTTAGGTTTTCTTTTTGGCATATATGACAATATGAGCTTGGTCTATTTAAACAAACCAAAAGAACGCCTAGTCGTCTAAGATCTTGCTAGCACTAATAGCACATTTAGTTGCCTGAAGTGCAAATGACCCAGCGCATTATATAGCTGGAACAGAAGCAAGTATAATTTGTTAATTGACTCTCCGCTTCACTCTTAGGGTCCGATTGGTTGACCTAAGAGGATTAAATAGCTACTGACCTCTTTCTTCTGGTTCCTGATCATGTATGTGCCCCATGAACAGCCTGACCAACGAGCTCATGAATTGCACATAACAGTCGCAGCTTGAAACTTTTGGATGTGGGCCAGATTCTGAATCATTGGCTCGAAAATTGCCATACTTCTTCATGATTTGACAATCCTCTTAGCTAACCAACCAGAAAAAAGCACAAGACAGCAACACCAATGCACTAATTGCAACTCAGTGGTTAAATGCCATCCTGGATTGCAATATATCACCATTAATTTGAGATTGTGATGAAGGGGAAAACAAAAGAATAGTTACAAAATAATGACTTCCAGGGCTGGAGGAAGAAATGCTAACATATAATCTCTAAGATAAAGAAAATTGTTTGTAGATGCAAAACAGAAAAAGGACAAATTACTTCACAAATATACGTAGAAGCAATCTTCAAATATCTCAATCAACGAATTGATATAAAAGGGGGACCATAAAAGAGAGGTTTCTGAATATAATGAACAATCTTACATTGGGCATGAGTTGATGATCTCATCAATCTAAAAGCCACCACAAACCCTGAGTTGTATCTCATCGCTGCCTTCTTGATCTACGTGAACAAGGGAAATGAAAATAAAGTTTAAATAAAAAACTAAGAATTGAAATAAATTATAAAACCAATATATCAAGAAGAAAAGGCAAGCATGAGAAGCAAATAAGTTTGAAGACAGAATATGCTGGTTCAGATGCAGATCGTATTTATCTCAAATTTTCAATACAGTTACTAAGAGGCTTTCTTAACAGTAGAATTATACCATACCCCGAGGTCCAATCCAAACAACAAAAGAAAAAACACTGCATAGATTACTTGTAAACATTGATTGGTACAGATGGGAACTTTTATCAAATAATACCTTTCAAATCATCACTGATAATTTTAGGAAGTAATGGATCAAGAAGAGGTTGATATCCTTCATCTTTCATTAACTTGGTTAACAGTTTTAACGCCAACCTTATTTCTTCAATTTGTGGGTGCATATTGTCTCCAACAACAAATACATGGGTCAAACTTTTCAACTCAATCCAGCTACAACCAGGTTCTTTAGTCACCCCTCGGGTCTTCATCATCCCCCTGACACGCTCCACGTCTTCCCATTTTCCTAAAGCCGTATATATACTCGATAACAACACATAAGCAGACGATTCTGGCGAGCCTAACTCCATTAGTTTCTCTCCAGCATAAGCACCAAGATAATAGTTACGATGGTTCTTACAGGCCCCTAATAATATGCGCCACAGACATAGACCATGATCAACTGTTGCTGATTCAATGAATTCTTTTGCTTCATTTAGTTGTCCAGCACGGCTCAAGATATCAACCATGCAAGCATAATGCTCTACTGTAGGAGCAATGTTAAACTCATCAAACATCATCTTAAAATAAACCCACCCTCTTTCCACCAAACCCATATGACTACAAGCAGAGAGAAGATTCACAAATGTGACACTGTCGGGCTTTGTTCCCTCCGAGCACATCTCTTCAAACAACTTCAAGGCTTCAATGCCGCGACCATTTTGAGAAAGTCCGGATATCATTGCATTCCACGAAATTACATCTCTAGAAGGCATCCTCCAAAAGATGCGGCATCCGTCATCCAAACTTCCACACTTTGCATACATGGCAGAAAGAGCACTTCCAATCGGAACTTCCAAGCTAAAACCATACTTAATAATCCCGGCATGCATTTGCTTTCCCTGATCTAAAGCCACCAAGCTAGAACAAGCCTTTAGAACACTAGCCATAGTTAAATCATTGGGGATAACTCGCCCCATCTGCATTTTACCGTACAAATTCATAGCACCTTCATAATCCCCATTTTGTACATAACCCGTTATGATTGAAGTCCAAAGAACAACATCAGGTTGTTGAATATACTCAAAACCATTCCGAGCATCCCCTATACTACCACACTTCGCGTACATGTCCACCAAAGCCGACATCACATACAACTGCAATTCATAACCCAGCTTCAAGGAATACCCATGCATTTGTCTCCCTTCCACAACAGCACAAGCATCACTACAAGCATTGATCACCCCAACAAGAGTATACTCAGTGGGCAAAACTCCAGAGCGATGCATATCATAAAACAGTTTCAGAGCCTTATCCGCATCCCCGCTCTGAGCAAAACCAGTAACCATAGCCGACCACGTGATCGAATTCTTATTCCCCGACAACTCAAAAGTCTTGAGCGCATCCTCCAAGCTCCCACACTTCGAATACATCGTCACGAGAGCATTCCCCACAGAGACAAAGCAAACACCCCCGTTTTTCATCGCAAGAGAATGAACCTGCCTTCCGGTGTCCACAAACACGTGACTCGTCAAAGCACTAAGAACACTAGTGATCACAAAATCTTTTTCATTGTCACTCTCTTTTTCATGACGCAATAGTTCAAAGAGCTGAAAAGCCTCATAAGCAAACTCCTTGGAAGCATACCCAGAAATCATGGTAGCCCAAGAAACCACATTCCTCACAGGCATTTCGTCAAACAGCTCACGCGCCTCCGCAACGAGACCCGTTTTGCAGTACAAGTTAAGAAGCGAACTGGCAACGAAAACGTCATCGGACCAGGCCGTTTTGACGGCAAGAGCGTGGGCCATGCGGCCGGCGCTGGCGTCGGAGAGGTTGGAGGAGGCGGTGAAGACGCCGGTGAAGGTGTGGGCGTTGGGGAGGGTGGTGCAGGCCATCATACGGCGAAAGAGACGCATGACGTGAGAAGAGGCGTAGGCTTGCTGTTGGGAGAATGCATTGATGAGACAGTTCCATGAGATGACGTCCTTGTGAACGATGTTGTCGAATACGAGGTTGGCTTCTGCGAAGTGACCACACTTAGTGTAGAGGTTGATGAAGGCGTTGGCAATGTGAGTGAAGGAGAAAAAACCGTTTCTGAGAATGCGAGCGTGCAAAACTCGACCTCTACGAAGTTCTTTGTTGACAGTGTAGAGAAGGAGAGCACGCAACACTTGCACGTGTTGGGGAGGAAATGGAAGAGGCATGCATCCACTGCTAACAAATGACAGTGTCTTTGTTCAACTTCACTCTTCTGGGTTTGCTTTATCTATCTTATATAAAGATGTAAAAAATTTAATTTTTTTATTTTTTTTATAATATAATTATTGTTAAAATATAATTGTTACAAAAATATATTTAATTTTGTTAAAAAATACTTATTTTTAATATATAAAGATAATTTCTTTTCACATATTTCATATTTTAATTTTACCTTTTATAATATAATAGGAGGTATCCGTTTTAATTTTTTTTAATAAAATTGTATATTATTTATATATTTTTCAATAATTAGGTCTGTATCTAATTACTTTATTTATATAATTTAGAAAAAAATAAATTTTAAATTCTGGATCATTCAATAAAACATCAAAGTGAATTTCTTTATTTCTGTATATTAAAGAATTATTTTTAATAAATTTTACAATAGTAGAATGATTTAAGTCATTCTATTTAAAAATTATATTATTTTTACTTATCCACAAAAATCATATTACACTAGGTCCCTGTTCTTATAGTTTTTGTTCTATTTTTTCTGAGAATATGTTAACACAATATATGATATCATCTTTATATAATACCATTAAAATATCTAATAGGACATTTAGATATTATATAATAATATAAGTTGTGTGTTTATCTTCCTTACAAAAAAAATATTACATCTTAATATCCAAAAACACTTCAAAGTTCTATTATATACTTTCAGTTAATATTTTCTCTTTTACAATAAATATATATATATATATATATATATATATATATAAAGATATATTTAATTTTATTAACGAATAAAAAATGACTTTACATCTTAATCAATTTATAAATTTAATAACTTATATTATAATATAAATATTAAAAATCCAGACACATATAAGATAACATCTATAATTTTTACTAATATATATATATATATATATATATATATATATATATATATATATAATGTTAAATGTGTGATTTCGACTCTGCTAATTTTGCTTATCGGTTAGTGTATGAAAGCATACTCGTTCAACAACCATATAACTCGCTTAACAAAAATAAACACTGAAACCGACAAGTTTATATTATTCCAAAGTCGTCCAATAACACTTGTCTCACCTAGCCACTTTCAAATCAGTGAGTTATTTGAAATGATCACCAAATCAATAGCTCTTGCTTATCGAATCTCCATAATTCTATATAACATAATTTGGAAATTTATATCATTCTAAATCCAACAACAATCATAAATATCAAAACGTATCAACTAACAAATTATATAATACTTAAAGGCTTAATATATTTCATTTGCAGCATCAACTAGAAAACATATGCAATTTCATAATACAATTCAATGAAGTCAAATTAAAACCCTAATTTAACTTCCCATATCATATTTCATTAGACAAATAAATCACACAAATAAAACACTATACAAGCATACAATTGACAATTTAAAGTATTTACAAGTTAAAAACAATGCAATTATTTTTTTCTTTCTTGAGAAACAAATGAATTTGTTTTTACGAATCTCAAATCTCTTATAACTCACAAAATGTCCTATCTATACTTAAGAACAACACAAACACGATCACGATACACCATTAGAATCATTGATCAACAAAAACTTATATAAATGACTAAAAAGATGTATGTAAGTAGATGAAGACTCACATGCAATATATAACAGAACGAAAAAACTGATCGACCTTGAAAAGTTTAAGACAAAGATTATTGTTATAGTTTCGTTTCTTCAATCATATGAACAAAGAGGAATAATCCTTAAAAGTAAAATAACTTTAGAAAAATAAATTTGAAAAAGAGAGTGTATTTTAAAACAATAATGAATTCATATCAAAACTATTTATATAAAACTTTTTAATATTAAAATTATTGAATTTTATTGTTTTTAAATCACTATTATTTTTAAAATATTATTTTAACATCTTTAACCTTCTTATAAAATTTTCAGGAAAACTTTATTTTTTATTAAAAAGTAAAATAAAATTTTCCTTAAATATACAAAAGTAATAGAAACAAATTTTTACAAATAGCATTAGTTATCAACTACTTATTTAATGGAATAGTAAGGATTTAATTACTGGCCTTTTGAATTAAAACCTTGTCCATGACATAGCTTTTTAAAATATGATATCATTTAAATGTAATTTTTTTATAGATAAAATTACTATCAAGCATAAAAGGTTAAAATATTAAAAGAAAATAGATACATTTCAAATTCCTGTCCAAGATTCTCATGTCTTTAAAAGAAAATGTTTTTCTTCTTCCAGCATGCATAAAGATAAATTAGTATATTTTAAAGAGATAAAATAAACAATTATAAAGTTATATAATTTTGTACAATTTTGAATTCTAACATCTTTTAATAATATTAAATTATGAAATAGAATATTATAAATTTGATAAAATAAAATAAATATTTTAAAAAATATATAATATTAATATAATTTATTCACCATATATATATATATATATATGTATATATATATGTACATATATATGTATATATATATATATATATATAT